TATACTCTTACCTTACACTTACAAATACACATTGTTTACAGAACATTCTCATCTAAAATAGCAGAACACAAATATATTCTTACCTTACACTTACAAATACACATTGTTTACAGAACATTCTCATCTAAAATACCAGAACACATATATACTCTTACCTTACACTTAAAAATACACATTGTTTACAGAACATTCTCATCTAAAATACCAGAACACATATATACTCTTACCTTACACTTACAAATACACATTGTTTACAGAACACTCTCATCTAAAATACCAGAACACATATATACTCTTACCTTACACTTAAAAATACACATTGTTTACAGAACATTCTCATCTAAAATACCAGAACACATACATACTTTTACCTTACACTTAAAAATACACATTGTTTACAGAACATTCTCATCTAAAATACCAGAACACATACATATTTTTACCTTACACTTAAAAATACACATTGTTTACAGAACATTCTCATCTAAAATAGCAGAGCACATATATACTCTTACCTTACACTTAAAAATACACATTGTTTACAGAACATTCTCATCTAAAATACCAGAACACATATATACTCTTACCTTACACTTAAAAATACACATTGTTTACAGAACATTCTCATCTAAAATAGCAAAGCACATATATACTCTTACCTTACACATTCTTTACAGTATTATACAGTTAGCTGATGATGTGAAATCAGCAACCTTGAGACAATATATATTGATGCAATTTTTCAAATGTTTCATAAAAAAAAATATTTTTCTTTTATTATTCAAACATATACCTTCCAAAATATGTTGTTGGATGAGTTCTTGTCGTTCTGGTCGCTTTTGTATCTTGTTCTTGAGATAATCACCCATCTATGGCAGTTCATATAAAAAAATGTAAACCATTTAGATATCTGGCAACTATTTGTAAAGTTTTTAAAGTATTATCTTAATTACCATGTTTATTTAAAGAAACATAAGCTGTTAGTGTGATTGACTAATACTAGAAAGAAGTGCTCAGAGTAAAACACAAACAATACTACAGCTAATAAGTAATGTCAATATCTACATTATCCCAATGTGTACCATAATTCAAACACTGTTTATGGATCCTCTTTCAGCATACTTTACAAACAGCAATAACCCATAATATCACAATTAAATCTACTTTATAAAAATAACATTATTGAAAAGTACACAACATATGAAATTAGATTTACTTCATAAAACTATATTGTAATCAAAATATTTACTTTATGAAAATAAATACTAAGTCAAAACTAAAACATCAACAATATTATTTACTACATAAAAATATTCATTGTTATCATAACTTGAAGCAAGTCTTGTTACAAGTTCAAAGTTGTTTTTATTAGCTCTACTGCAATTATTTGAAATGTTTTTATCTCCAAGTAAAATTTTTCATTTTAAAACTAATAATGCATTTTTATTATTACTTAGTGGATGCAAAGCTCTGTATTAAATTTAATACAAAATATTAAACCAAGTACAGCTCAGGGTTTATATTCATAAATGCCTAAGTATTTAAGAATTTGAGAGTTTTTTTAGATTACCTTTGCTCGCTCCAGCTTCTGGCGCTGCTCGTGGAATGCAGGTGGAGTGTTTAAAGCTGCGAAAAAAATATCTTAGTAAATACCTGCATCAGTTTATTGTAAAAAACAAAACAGTTTAATCATGCTCAGTATAAATACATGTACGTCTACAATTAAGAAAGCACAACAAGAAATTCTTGTTCTAAAAACTTACGTGGCATTATTCCTTGTTCAACTAGCTGATTAATTGGTCTTCGAAGCATAAGCTTCTTTTGTAGAGCTATAAGGGGAAGAGTAAAAAATATATATAAGTGTTTTCATCAAATTGAATATTATATACTGTTACATGTTATCATTCTTCACAGTGTTGATCTGTTCTTCTTTTTACTCTTACTTTTGGTTGCTGACTTTGTAACAGAAGTTAGTAGGATAAAACTAACTATAAAATGTAAACAACTCTTTACCAGTGTAAGTTTTAAGGTGAATATAACCCTGTTAGATGTTTTTCTGTTGTAGTAAATAATTATTAGTCTTGAAGTTGTTTAATGCTGGATTATAATTATAATTTCAAACAGAACTTTCAGTATGTTTCATCATTAAAATAGGTTTTGACAATAATAATAATAAAAAAAATAACCATCACAGAACAGTACCATCAGTGAAACTATAATTCACTTAAGGAAGTAGTTACATCATAACACATAAAGAAACAGAAACAAACACATGTTCACTTACTGGTTTATTTGTACCATAACACATGAAGAAACTAACAACCAAATGTTCATTTACTGGGTTACATATAACATAACACATGAAAAAACAGAAACAACCAAATGTTCACTTACTGGGTTACCTATAACATAACACATGAAGAAACAGTAACAACCAAATGTTCATTTACTGGGTTTCCTATAACACATGAAGAAACAGAAACAACCACATGTTCACTTACTGGGTTACCTATAACATAAACATGAAGAAACAGAAACAACCACATGTTCACTTACTGGGTTACCTATAACATAAACATGAAGAAACAGTAACAACTACATGTTCACTTAATGGGTTATCTACACCATAACACATAAAGAAACAGTAACAACCACATGTTCACTGACTGGGTTATCTACACCATAACACATAAAGAAACAGTAACAATCAAATGTTCACTTACTGGGTTACCTATAACACATGAAGAAACAGTAACAACTACATGTTCACTTACTGGGTTACCTATAACATAACACATGAAGAAACAGAAACAACCACATGTTCACTTACTGGGTTACCTATAACATAACACATGAAGAAACAGAAACAACCACATGTTCAATTACTGGGTTATCTACATCACAAAATGTGAAGGAAAAATAGACATTTGTTTTAAATGTATTTAAATTTCCTTCATAAACCTCTAACTGTCCTTAAAGTTAAGATATACCGTGAGTTGTCCTTTTTTCTTGAACTAATAATAAAGAAAGGGCTATAGAAAGGAATTATAAAGAAATTAATGGCATTACCAGTCACTGAAATATGAAATTCCTTTAAAGATATTGTGGTTTATTTAGAAAACAACAGTGTGTGTGAAGTCAATGTAGAGGAATAAGGTCACCTAAAGAATGCTTACATTTTGGAAATATTTTTTCTACTTTAATTGAACATGAGATATATTATATAACAGCAGAATAAAACTGTATATATCTTCCTTTCTATAACTGGTTAAATAAAAATACACAGCAATTAAGTTTAGCCACTACAGCTTTACACACCTACCATGAACTATCACTGATAAGGTATTAAACCACACTAAGCATGGAATCAAGATAAACTTACATTCTTTGTTTTTGTCCATGGACTTTTGAAGTGATCCTTCATCTACTTCAGCCATCCCACTAGGGTTAATAGATGAAACAATCCAATCTTCCATTCTGTGCACCAAACAATCAATTGAAACACTGACTGTTGTGCAGTGTAAGTTCTAGGTTGCAGTCCTGCAAAATGAAGAATCTGAGTGAATGTCTGCAGAAGATAATTCTATATGAGGGTGTAGGTACAGTGATACAATTATAACTTCCAATCATAATAATCTATGTACTTATAGCAAAAACCAATCTGGCCATCATTAGAGCTAATTGAATAAACAAAAACCAATCTGGCCATCATTAGAACTAATTGAATATACAAAAACCAATCTGGCCATCATTAGAGCTAATTGAATAAACAAAAACCAATCTGGCCATCATTAGAGCTAATTGAATAT